CCCATAGACAACATGAGATCCAGGGATCCTTAGTTAAGTTACTTAATAGCTTTATAAAAAGAAAAGAATAGCTCCTACCTCATAGAGCTGTTGACTACCAATATAACATGCTTGGGCTAATTCCTGGCACACAGTAAATGTTCAAGGAACATCAATTATTAACATCAAAGAGCTTCCTCACGGACAAAATATGGAGTAACGGAGAGAAAGGCATGGGAATACTGATGGCTGAGCAAGAGTCAGGAAATAAAAATTCTGCAACTTAACTAAATGTTTACCTTGCACTTGCCAAAACTATTGAATGAATGAATGAGTCTTCTCTTTTTTTGGAGAGGTTTTTGCTATAGGGCACGTGCGCTCGCCAGACAGACAGAGAGAGACATAGAGACAGAAAGTGAGAAATCACCCCCCCCAGAGTGGATAGTCACACCGCAATCCCTTCTCCTCCATTCTCTCGGGATCTTGGCATGCATACACATGCACTCAGCGTGAGTTTTAAGCCACCGGGTCCGGGACACAAACCACGGTCGACTATGTGGGAGTCCAGCGACATAGCCATTATGCTAACTGCTGGTTCCCAATGAGTCTTATTCTTGACTAGGAATCTTAGCAGGCGCCTCCCTTCTCCTTCATCCTCTATGGTCTAACTGTCCTAAATCCTTTTGTTTCTTTCTTTGAATTATCTATTGCTTTAGCATCTTTTCCTCTTTTAATCACTAAATATCTACAGACACTTTCTATTTGGAGGAACACTAAATATGCATTGTTAAAAATAATTTCAGAGGGACCAGCAGATGGTGTAATAGTTATGTCACTAACTCCCACATGGCCAACGGCAGTTCGGGTCCCAGACCCGGTGGCTTGAAACTCACGCCAGGTGCATGTCCATCCATGTCCAAAATCCCAAGAGTCCCAAGAGAAGACTGGAGGAGTAGGGACTGTGGCATCACCATCCACCCTGGGGGCTTATTTCTCAATTTCTGTCTCTCTGTCTATCTCTGTCTCTCTGGCAAGTGCACATGCCCTATAGCAAAAATCTCTCTCTAAAAATAATAATAATAATTTCAGAAAGATATTTATAATATATCTGATAAGGATTCAAATCTAGAATACATAGAGTTAATGCAAATCTATAACAAAAAGATCACCCACGAGGAAAAAATAAACAAACAAAAGCTTTACAGGCACTTTACAAAAGTGGATATTCAATAAACATAGAAGAGGGGATTGACTTCATCAAATATAGAGAAATGCAAAATCAAAACCACACACTCACCAGAATGACTAAAATAAAAAAGACAATACCAAATGTTGGCAAGAATTAGAGCAAATGAAACTCTCAAATGCTGCTTGAAGCAGTACAAACTAGTATATCCCCTATAGAACACCATTTTGCAATATCTATTAAAGCTGAAGAGAAACATGACTTATGGCTCACCTATTCAGTTTCTTGCCACACACTCAACAGAAATTAGTTCATTTATTAAAAGACATATACAAAAATATTCATAACTGCATTATTCATAATAGACTCATGCTGAAACATTAGAATGGATAAAGCACAGAATTGCTGTATATTGTAATTCTATACAACAATGATAAAATGCATGATATTGCTGTATGTAACTCCAGGAATAAATCTCAAGAAGAAATACTAAGCAAAGGAAGCCAACACACAAAAGTGCAAATCATGTAATTCCTTTCATATAAAGCTCAAAAACAGGCAGAAAACAGTCCTGAACAAAAAAAGAATGTAGCTGGAAGCTTCATACTACTAGATTTCGAAATACACTATAAAGCTATTGTAACAAACCCAGCATGGTACTAGCAGAAAAAGACACATAGACAGGGAACAGCATAGGGAACCCACAAATAAATCCATCTAGATACAGCTGGCCTTTTATTGACAAAGGAACCAAGAGCATTCACTGAGGAAAAGACATTAGTGCTGGGACAAGGAACATCCATAAGCAAGAGAATGAAGCTAGGCCTGTATCTCTCACCATATACAAAAATCAACTCCAATTGGATTAGACTTAAACATGAAACCTGAAACTATAAAGTCTATTAGAATAAAACAGGGGAAACACTTCAGGACATTGGTATGAGCAAAGAGTTCTTGAATAAAACCTTAAAAGCCAGACAACAAGAGTAAAAATAGACAAATACACTCTACTGAGCCAAAAGTTTCTGCACAGCAAAGGAAACAATCAACAGAGTGAAGAGACAACTCACAGAAGAGGAGAAAATATTTGTATACTACACATCTGAAGGAAATAACCAGACTACACAAAGAGTTTAAACAACTAGCAGCAAATAAATACATAAACTGATTTAAAAATGGGTAAATGACCTGAATAAACAATTCTTAAAAGAAGATAAACAAATGGCTAGCAAAAATATGAAAAAAATTCTCAGCATCACTAATCATTAAAAAAATGCAAATGAAAACCACAATTGGATATCATCTTACTCCAGTTAAAATGGCTATTACCCAAAATATTAAAACAAGTAATAGTAACAAAGGCTGGTGAGTCTAAGAACAAATCATTCTTTTATACTGTTGGTAAGAATGTTAACTGATACAGCCATTATGGAAAATAGTATGGAAGTTCCATTAAAAACTTAAAATAGAACTTGTCATATGATCTAGAAATCCCACTACTATGTTTATATCCAAAAGAAAGAAAATCAGTACATCATAACTATACACACTTCAATGTTTATTGCATCACTAGTAACAATAGCTAAGATATGGGAGCACCTAAGCATCCATCAAAAGACAAATTTTTAAAATACATGGTGTATACACACACACACACATTCATGCACACAATATGGAATACTATGCAGCCATTTATAAAAGATAAAATCCTTTCTTTTGAGATTAAGTGGCTGAGCCTAGAAGTCATTATGTTAAGTAAAATAAACCAGACACAGAAAGAGAAATACCACATGCTCCCCCTCCCACATGGAAATTTGAGAAAATAATCTCATAGAAGTAGAGGTGTAAAATGACTACTGGAAGCTGGAGGCAGAGGAGTAGAAATAGAGGTATGTTGATTAACAGAAACAAAATTCAGGACTAGCAAATGGCATAATGGTTATATTGCTGGATTCCCAAATAGTCAAGTGCTGGATCCAGAGGCTTAAAAGTCATGACTAGCATGTGTGTGTGCATGCCCAAAATCCTGAGAGGAGCATGGAGAAGGGATTGCAGTGTGGCCATTTTCTGAGGGGTGATTTCTCATTTTCTGTCTCTCTGTCTCTCCAGCAGCTCACACACCCCATAGCAAAAATCTCTCTCTAAAAAAAAATTAGATGAATGAAGGAACAATGCCTAGCATTATAAAATACAGAAGGGAGAATGTGGTTAACTTACTGTATATAATGTCATGAATGGTTGAGAAAATGGATATATTAATTAACCTGAATTAATCATTATATATTGTATCCACGTACTGAAAAAAATCACAGTTACAATTATTATATGGTAACAAAAAACTATTCATTAAAAAATGGGTAGTGATAAGAGAGAGAATGTTAAAAGAGATTCAATAGATATAACCGAATGTAATATGTGGTCTCTGGTTAGATCTTGATTGAAAAATAAACAGCTATTAAAAAAAAGCAAACATTTAGTAGTATATCTATAATCACCTTAAATTGTATAAGGTTGAACTTCATACAAATAGAAAAAGCATAATGTCATAAACTATGTAGCAAAAGTATCTTTAAAATCCATGGAAAATAAAAGTTGTATCATTTTTTAAAAAAGAATACAAAAAAAAAAAAAACAGGCAAAATTGATCTGTAATGTTATAAGTCAGAAGAGTTGGCTCTATGGTTGGACAGACACTGGCCTGGGACAGAAAAGAACTTTTGGGACACATTCAATGTTTAGTTTTTCTATCTGGCAGATTAAATTAATTTATTTCTACATTTATTACAGAAAAGCACTTCCGGGACACTGTCAATGTTTAGTTTTTCTATCTGGCTGATTAAATTTATTAATTTCTACACGTATTACTCACTTTTCTATATACATATTTTATAGTTTAATAAAAGAGCTTTTTAAAAAGTTTTTGAGAGCTTTTGCTTTAGGGCATGTGCACTTGCCAGAGAGAGACAGAAACAGTGAGAGGGAAAGTGAGAAATCACTCCCCAAGGGGATGGCCACACCATAATCCCTTCTCTTTCATTCTCCTCCTGGGATCTTGGGCACACATGCACATGTGCCTGCTGTGAGTTTCAAGCCGCTGGTCCAGGACTTGAATTGCAGTCAGACATGTGGACGTCCAGGAATGCAACCACTACACTATCTGTTGGTTCCAATAGAAGAGTTTTTAAAGTCATTATTTCTCAGAATCAATTTAAAAATTTCAGCCTTACCCCTGTACCCATTTATTCTAATCTGGGCAAGAAGTTCTAGGCCTCTCTCTACTCAGTTCTATACCTCTCAGAAAGGGGCCAGTGTCAGTCTTCACTACAGTTCAGGGTTTTCCTCGTAGGTTATAAACAAAATTGGAGCATATTGATTGATTTCTAGAACAGAACCTACTAAGAGCAGAGATTTAATCTCTGCTTATCTCTAATATTATCAACATAAATCCATACTTCATTATTCTGAGTATTCAATATAATGAATATTATTGAGTATCTTCCATGTGTCTAATAGGTGGCTTATGGATTTTGCCCTTATATGGATGACCTACGCACCTAAGCCAGAAACTACTAGTGAAAACAAAATTATAAGTTGGTTGGCAAAAATTGTTTGCTTTCTGCTAGTTACTTTCAAAACTTCTTGATGTAGCCTGAGCAAGATTATGCATTGAGTAAAACCAAAACTCTTCTAATCCTCTTCAGAGACCTAGACAAAAGGAGGCAAGTAAATAATGAAAACTGACTTATAGCTTCAGCTTCCACGCCTGTTCACCCTCAGCTCCACACATGGTGGATGGGGAGAAATCTATGAGAAGGTTATTTATGCTGAATTTTACCTCAAGGCAGGACTTTGTCCAAAGACATCAAGGAAGTGACCAGAGATGTTCCCATTTGAAGTTCTTTGGTACCCTGTCATGCAAACATGTAACTGCAGCCCACCGTTGGTCTATTTGCCCACTCCCAGTCCTCTAGTCCCACTAAGATGTTTCTTCTCATGAACATTTCTTAGGTCCTCAAGAATCAAGTTGAAATTCTTCACACTTAACATCTTCATCTCTGAATCTGGTCCATTTTCATCACCAGGGAAAAAACCTCAAGCTGTTCTCAGCTATGAAACTGTGCTCCTGTTGGGCTTTCTGAAACATCACCAGATCCTTTGGCCCTGAGGGAGGAAAAGAAAGTTAGAGATGTTAGTATAGTTTCTAGTGGAAGGAAAAGGAACTGTGTTCTGTTGGCAGAGTTACGATGCTTACTGGGTCACACACTTTTTTTGTCTTTCTTGCCGCTTCTCCATTAATAATTATGTGCATTTCTAGATAACTATGATCTTGCATTGAATGTCTTGAAGCAGTACTATGGAATAAAATAAAGGTGATTTGGAACCTTCATCTCTTTCTACATTCTTTTACTCACCATTGTCTTCTTCTCTCCAGCCCTGACCTTCTACCCCAGTCTCTTCAATGTTCATACTAAGTTGTTAATCATAAAATTAATATCATCCAATGGGCTAGCAGGTGGCATGGAAGGAAGTGCCAAGCTAAGTTCATCTCCACGTACAGGATTTCAGCTGCTATGGATACAGGCAAGGGACATACAGAGTCAGCAAAGGAGACTTTCTTAGGTTCCATAAAACAATACCATTTACTAAGGCACAGAGTATCCTGTGTTTAGTCTCATCATAGTGCAAGTCAATGTAAATTAAAGTACTCTGGCAACTTCTGTATTTCCCAACTAGCTAATCAGCTCCACCAGGGTATGGAGCATGGACAGGCAAGGTTTTTCTTTCTTCTCCTATAATTTCAGTCACTATCACTGCTTCTCTCTCTTTTTCTCTCACTCTCTCTCTCTCTCTCTCTCTCTCTCTCTCTCTGATGCATACATATATACACACATAACCACTATACATTTTGCCTGGGGATAGACTGGAGTAGAATTAAAATGAGAAATGAGACAATGGCTACTCTATACAAACTTACCATTAATAACAAGATTATTTAAATTGTACATGGTGGCTTTTTTTAATAGAAAATTTCCCCTTACATTAGAAGCAGAAATTGAGAGACTGGCAGGAAAGGAGGAGAGTGCCATGTGGAAACAACAAAAAGGAGAGACAAATGGTCCATTTTCTCATTTCGTGAAGGATAAGGCCTGTACTCCCATGACCTGGACAACCTCTTTATACCTTATCCTTTGAGCTAAGGCCAGGCCTGGGATACCCTGCCAAGGAAGGTGGGGTCAGGAAAGATGATGCCTGTATGTCTCAGAGAGTTTTACAGTCTTTCCTACGACAGCCGACATGTGTGCTTCCAGAAAGAGTCAATGAGAACGACTACTTCTGCCTCCCCACAGCAGTGGCAGGGCCATCTTGAGGGCTCTCTAGATGCAAAGCCACAATGACAACCACACACATCTTTGCCAGACCTGTGTGCCTCCCACTGTTCTACTAGTACTTGCCCCTATGGTGACCACCAGACTAGTCAGGGTTTCTAATGTCTCCCCAATAAAGGTACAAACGTGAGTGAAAGCACTCGATGTGCTGGGCCTCCATCTTGCCCCCAGCCTTATCCAAAGTTTAGCTAGCCTCTGTTGTTACTACCCAAGGTGGTGCTAGGTAACTGAGACTATAATGACCAACCGATCCATACCTAGGCTTTAATAGCTAAGAGAACTTAAATGCGGATTGGTATTTTTGCAAGCTCTCTAATACTTCATTTAGTTCAAAATAATAACGAATGGAAAATTTAGACAAAATGACAAGTTCGTCAAGATTTTGGTTGTGTCTCTTGGCAACTTTGTGAGCCTCATACACATATGTATTAGGACAAGCCCTGCTCCTGACCTTGTTACTTTCTTATAACATGAAAACATCTATGACCTATTTGGAAATATTTGTGGTTAATTGCACTCACTGTTATTAAGACAGAATAGAGGGCACTTTTGATGTTTGCATGGGATCGGGCACCAGAGTCACTTCAGGGACCTTACTATATCCTTACTACCAGGTAGCCATTCACTGTCCCAGCATGTCCAGAAAACCTCTTCCAGAGACCCGTCCAAGAACATGTGCTAATGTCGTAGTCACCGATGGGATTCCCCTCTCTCGCCCTGGTGGTTTAGTATTCTCGATAATGACTTACAAACTCAGGAGGATTGGGGGAAAGAACTGGAAGCTAGCATCACTTTACCTCAAGAGCCACAAATGCTTCCTCCTTTCATTTCTTTGCACCCACAGAGAGAACCAAAATTCTACCTTGATCTTTTGAGATAATCCACCTTCCTAGATGTCTGTAAGGGTCAAACTGTGTTACCAGGTGATTTATTTATGAGTTCGTGAAACCACAGCAAAACTCTCAAAAGCTTCATTCATCATAATAAATTGAAAGTCCTGGCATTTGAATAGAAGTTCTGTTGGGAGATTCTGATCTATCGGTAAGATATTTTCCAATAAATTTACCAAAATTCACTTCTCCTTGCAAGTCAGTCTCTGAAAAGATCAGTTATTGAGTGGCTACTGTGACCAATGTGGTACTACTCTTCATTATGCGGGAGGGAAGAAACATAAGGAAAACTTATCTTGTAACTTTTTGTGTTTGTGGAAACAAACAAAATGCAATTGGAATACATTAAAGTTATAAACGGTGTTGACATCAAATATGACAAAGACTCAGATCAGAGAGAAACCTCTATGTGCAGAAATTTCTTATTAAAAATCCCTTTGGGAGGGGCTCAGGGAATAAATAATTAACATAAGAATATAAAGTTGTCCATTGAAAATTGCGTCTATGGTAATATCTTGGATTCAATTGTCACCTAGTGCATGCAGCCTTTGAAAAAACAGATTGTGTATTTTAGAAATGTACAACAATTAGATATGAGTAAGAAATCATAAAATAAATAATACATGATAAATTTAAAAATCTTTTTATCTAGATACTTTGTTTGTTGTTGTTTTTTGTTTTGTTTTGTTTTTGTTTTTGTTTTTTGTTTTTTTGGTTTTTTGCCATAGGGCTTGTTGGAGAGAGAGAGTGTGAAAGTGAGGAATACCCCCAAGAATATGCACATATCAATCTGTTCTCCTCCATTCTCCTCTCAGGAGTCAGGGCATGCACGCACATGAACCTAGTGTCATTTTCAAGCTGCTGGGTCTGGGATTCCAACCACAGTCGACCATGTGAGAATCCAGTGCCTTAACCACCACACCACCTGCTGGTCTCTATTTAGAAATCTTGCCATCTTAATTTTTTAAAATTTTTATTAGAGGAGAGAAAGAAATTTACCCTTCAGAGTCTTAAATGAAGATCAAGAGTTATCACCTGTTTATAATTTCTGCTATGAAAAACAGTAATAAACAGATTAATTTTAAAAAGTAATAACATTTTGGTTGATGTCTGGGTAAGATTTGGGATGATAGCTCTCCAGGCTGGTGGAGAATCATGCAAAAACACGGAAACCTCTTGGGTATCTCTAACACTGAGAGAGCAGATCAAAGCCATTTAGAACTGAAGAATCCCCTTTGGGCAGAGAGTGGAAACAGTTTAAGAACTGTATTCTACTTAGAGTTGTTATCAAGAGAGAATTACTGGGAAGTTCAAACCTTTTGACTAGTGACAGTAACAGGACTATGCATTTGTCAAAATGCATAGAATTGTACTCCCAGAAAGTGTAAACTCTGCTATACATAAATTATATCACAACAGACTAGATAAATGGAAGGAGAGTTGACTAGCACTTTTCTATTGCATCCTAAAATATCCACCTAATTGCGATGGAAATGAAAATGGGCCTCATCTCTCAGCTGTGGTACTGGTGGTAGGGAACCACCACATGGTGCTAAAGCTGCATTGAAGACTCTGGTTCATATCCTATACCAACCTAAACCTGCCGGGAACAGCAGTTTGTGCTTATAGCCCTAGAGAACTAGGAAGTTAGGGCAGGAAGACTGCAGCATGGCAAGACAGTGTTGAAAATACCTCTCTCTCTCTCTCTCTTTTTTAAAGAATTATTTATTTACTTTTATTCATTCATTCATTTTATTTTAATTTGACCAGAGACACTGAGAGAAAGAGAGAAAGAGAGAAAGTGAGAAAGCAAGCCACCAGTCCAAGGACTCGAACCATGGTCAGCCCATGTGGGAGTGTCCAGCGCCTTAACCACTATGCCACCCGCTGGTCCCCGAAAATACCTCTCTTAAAAAAAAAAAATGATGGGGGAGGCCTACCCAGAAAATGTATTTATTTGCAGTTCTACCAGTTTTGACACAAGTGTTTTCTCCCAAATAGAGTTGCTCAACAATAGAATGGAATAAACAGTATTATAAGGGAACAAACTCCCATTGCTAGAATTGACCAGTGCTTCTAAAGAACTTACTCTGGTAGGTTGTTTATATAGTTCATTTGTGATCCTCATCATCACCTGCCAAAAAGGATATTTTAGAGTTGAAAAATATGAAACTTAGAGGATTTATGTGATTGCCATTTGGTAGTGTAATGAAATTCATGCAAAAGCAAACTATCTTCATGCATTTAGGGGATTTTTAATGAGTCCCTACCAAGGGATATTAATTGCTTTGCTAGCTATGGTGGTTTTAACTGTGATATTTTTGGGGTCAGCAGGTGACACAGTGACTACGGCACTGGACTCCCACATAGCCAATCACGGTTCAAGCTCCAGACCCAGCAGCTTGAAAAATTATTCTGCACTCATGTGTGCACCCAAAAATCCCAAGAGGAGAATGGAGGAGAAGGATTGCAGTGTGGCCATCCCTCCTTTGGGGCTTGATTTCTCACTTTCCCTTTCTCTGTCTCTCTTTGGCAAGTGCATGTGCTCTGTAGCACAAAAAACAAACAAACAAAAATAACAAAAAAAATTCTAAAAAATATAAATAAATTAAAATTAAAATTGTGATACTGTAGATATGACCCTGTCCTAACAGGGAGTACAATCCATCTAATGGACAGGGGGGAAAGCCATCATTGTATGCTGTGTCAAGTGCTATAATGGGGAAGGGGGGCAAGAAGGCACACAGAAGGTACACTTACTCTTGACTAGGCAGATATAAACAGCTTCCTGAAAGAAATGACATCTCAGCTAAGACTCGGTGGATAAATGAAGAGTTCATGAAGTAGTCAACATTAGGTCTAGGGTTGGGTGACAAGG